GGCGCCCCCGCCTGGCAGGGCTGGGAGGAGCCCAGAGCCGGGCTGCTGGGTCCTGGTGACAGCCCCGCTGCTGCAGCTTGGGGATGAGCCCCGGGGCGGGCCCCTTCCGGCGCTGAGGGGCCCGGGCGGCACCATGAGGATCAAGTTCAGCAGCCTCGCTCTGTTTGCGGTCCTCCTGGGCGTTTTAAGTTTCAGCTTCCTGGTGGCGGCCCTCGGGACCGACTTCTGGTACATCATCGACGCCTCCCCGCTGGAGCGCAACAAAGCCGCGGGGGAAGCCGGCAGGGGGGCAGCCCAGGCGCGCCCCTTTGCTCCGTGTCTTCCTGGTATGCAGACCAGGGAGACGCGGAGCAGCTTTTCTTGCCGGGGAGAACACGGGCGGCGGGACCACACGGTCCCGCAGTCCGTGTTCGTAACTGCAGATCCGACATAAGTCGGATCCGCGTAAGTCGGGGACTGCCTGTATGGTGCAGGTTTCTTCTGAGGAAGTGCACTGATGGGTCAGGTTTATAGTGATCAGTTTGTGAAAAGTGTTCACCCACAGGTTATACGATATTTTTTCTTTTATCATCTTCCTGTGTGAGTTCATTCAGGAGCAAAGTAATAGTTGTTGGAGCATTTAGTGCACCATATGTTGTAGGAGGCATGCATAGGACCCATGGATCTTGAAAGGTGTTTTGCAGGATGCTGATCATTGCTGCAATGGAAACAGGTCTGCAGATTTTGCCTCCATTCTGGCAGGGTCTCTGTCACTTTGAGTTGGTGTAGCCTCTCCTGTTTTTGCTGCTGCTGAGCTTGGAGAGTTGGCAAGTTGATTGAAGGCCAGAAGAGGGGGTTCAGGAAAGATGAGAAGGATGTCCCCATCAAGTATGGATTTTAGTTGTTTAATTATACCCCATATGGTTTCTTGTGTGAGGAAGTAGATGAAAACTATGCAATTGGAAGGTGTTTTTATGTCTGTACTGTAGCAAATTCTCTCAGGGTATTGCAGACTGTTAATTTTTAGTTCTTTAAAAAGAAACCAACTTTTCCAACCTAATGCCACTTTTAATGTAAACAGAATAATTTTAATTCTAACATTTCAAATACAAAATTATTTTCTCTGGGTCTTGTTTTATGGGAAGTAGTAGTAGTGGCTGAACTAGATTAATTGTTCCTATTTGTACTGTGCTCTGCAGATGTGCAGTAAGTGAACAACTTCATTAACTGAACTTTTTTGTTCCTTTTAAATAGGCAAGATAACAGCATATCATTAGTAAAAGCCTGCTGGAATGAACTTTTTACGCTTGGTCTTGCACAGTGTTCACAAGTGATGAATGTGGCAACTATATTAACTGCATTTGTTAATCACCTGCATGGTAGCTTACAGCAAGGTAAGATGCATCCTGGCATTTTCAGGGTGTAGGTATGTGGGGGGTGGTGTTAATTAACAGCATGAGTCCATCAAAAATGTGGAAAATTTTAGCAAATCTACAGAAGTCAGTCACATTTAGTAATAATAAAAACTGTATTTCGGTGTGTTTCTTTCCTTTTCATTTTCCCTCCTTCCAGAAAATGTATATACAAATAATTGCTCTGATTAAAAATTCAACACTCAATAGGATATGCTGAACAGCCACAAGTTAAATATGTGCAGTCTAAATTGATTTGTATCCTGCATTCAGTCTTCAGACTTTGTGTAAATTGTTTTGGGGGTTATGCTGTTTTGTATCGTAAAAAGCAAGACTAAATTCTGAGTTTCCATAGAATTGAGATTTTTACAAACTAAATAAACTTTAGTGTGTGTGGCTTATATGATTTGAGAAATGAAAGAGTAATAAGTCTCAAGTTTTTTAACCGTGAGGGTAATAAATTATTGGAACAATTTATGAATGGTTGTGGCTGCTTCTCTATCACTGGAAATTTTAAAATCAAGATTGGATGTTTTTCAAGAAGATACATACTCTAATTCAAACCCTACTGGTGTTGATTTAAAGAATCAATTAATACATGGATATCCAACGGTTTGTGATATGCAGAAGGTCAGACTATCACAATGATCCCTTCTGGCCTTAAAAGTCTATTACTGTCCAAATCCCATTATGGCAAATCATGTAAAATATGCTCCTAAAACTAGAAGCAGATTATAGTGAAAGAAACTTTTAACATATTAGCTGGAATCTTATTTTGATTATTCATGCACCTAGAAACTTATTTTCTTTAGTTGCTTCTCTTCAATGCTAACTTTAAAAGGTGCTTGAATTCGACTGAAAGGTATTATGTTGATGGGAAAGGTTATAATATTTTTCTCCTTTGTGAATTGGGTCAGTGGAGCCCCATTGTAGGTATTATAACAGCTCATGATCCATGGAGCTATGCTACTCAGGGCTCTCTCTATTCAGAACTGCTAAATAATTGTACCCAGTCATTTTTTAAAATTTAATACACCCACATCCACAGTAATCCTTGTAAATGTGTGCGCACGCCAGGCGCGGGGGAATTCCTTCTCAATGTCGGCTGAATGAAAACTAATTATGGTGGCTGCAAAAGGGTACAGCAGATGTGGGCAATAATTGATGATGGGGAAGTCACACCAAGAATTTGGAAAGTGGTCAAGGGCTGCACTTTTCCTTTATATTAATGGAGGAAATGCAGGGTCTGGAATGGAGGTTGGATGAAGAAGGGAGTTTAGGGTAAGGGATTGGGATCAAGAGGGGATGGGGGGTCTAGAAGGGAGTTGGGTGAAGGAGGTGGTTGTGACCTGGGGCAGGGAATTGGGGTGCAGAGTCTGGGAGGGGGTATGGGTGCAGAAAGGGGTATGGGTGCAGGAGGGGAGCTGAGTGTTTGGGTTATGTGGGGTATGGGTGTAGGAGTGGGGCAGAGGCTTGTAGGGAGGGAGGATCTGGGGCGTCAGAGGCAGGCTCTGGCCAGGAGACTTACCTGGGTGATACCTAGCCAGCAGCCCAGTAGGTTTCTCAGGGAGGCTTCCACAACTCATGCACCGGCTTCAGGGCCCATGTGTGTCTATGAATAACTGCAAGCCTGAGAAGAGGGAAAAGAGATACTTCGCACGCTGCCTATTCTTCAAATAGGCAGCTCCAATTGTCTGGTTGTGCTGGGGTGGGGGCAGCCTCTTCTCCTCTCCCCAGAGCTTGAATCTGTTCATAGACAAACAGGGCCCTGCAGCTGCTTATCTGAGCAGCGTGCAGAGGCAGGTGAAGCTCCTCGCTGGCCTGCGGGCCAAATCCAGCCCATGAGTCTTATTTTGCCTAGTCCTGGGGTATAGAATGCCAAAGTTAAAGCTCAATGATAGGTGTGAGCTATCCTCCTTCATTCCTGGTGGTAACCCTACAGCCTGACAGTATAAAGTCAATGAAGAAAACCCAGAGAAGAGCACCAACCATGATTAAAGATGTAGAAAACATGACCTATAAACATAATAGTTTTTAAGTTCATATAAGGTTGGTGTAAAGAGGAGGGTAGTAAATTGTTCTCCTTATCCACTGAAGACAGACAAGAAGCAATGGACTTTAATCTGTCTCCCTCTGGATGCAATTTAACAATAGAAAAAACTTCCTAATTGCAAGGGTAGTTAAGCACTGGATACCTAAGGAGGTATGGAAGTCTTTAAAATCAGGTTAGACAAACACCTGTTAAGAATGGTCTATATCAGTATTTTGCAACAGGTTCATAGACTGGTGCTGGTCTCTGAGATTTCCCTGACATGTCTTAGGAAGCCACGAGCTGGTCTCTGGTATCAAAAAGCTTTAGAAACACGGATCTAGACAATACCTACTTCCAGGGTTTGATGAACCGTGGCGAAAGCCGCTCACCAGCCCTGCTCTGCGCATGCGCAAGAGCCGCATTGCGCATGCGCGTGCCACCGGTAAACGGGTAACCCGGGCTGAAATCTATTCGCCACGGGCTAGTAGATTCAATAGATTGTCGAGCCCTGCCTACTTCTGTTTTAGGGCTTAAGGCTGCACTAGAAGACCTACTTTGGTCCCTCCTTGTCTTACATATCTGTGATTCTATGAGGAGTCTATGGTAATTATGTAACTGCTGATACTTTTAGCAGAAACATCAAGCTAATTGTCATTTGGGGACATATTAGCAGATACTGGGGTGGTATGCAGTGAAGCTGCTAGTTCTTATCATGGATTACTGCAAGTGGAAAATAAGAAATTTAAAACTCCTTACCCCTGCTTAAGGTAAGATAAATGTGCATCTGCAATAAAAGCGCCTTATGTCTCTTCTGGATACAAGAATAGCTTTCATGTTTTGCAGTGTTCCAAAAACTGTGGCTACATCTACATTGCACTTTCTTGCACAAGAACATATGCAAATGAGGCACAATGATGATTATCGCTGCACCTCATTTGCATACTTAATGAGCCACTATTTTTGTGCAAGGGGCTTTTGCTCAAGAAGGAGCAGTCTACACTGCTCCTTCTTGAGCAAACCCCCTCTTGCTCAAGAGCCGTTCTGCCTGAAAATAAACAGCAGAATGGCTCTTGCGCAAGTGGGGTTTTTTGTGCAAGAAGGAGCAGTGTAGACTGCTCCTTCTTGTGCAAAAGCCCTTTGTACAAAAATGGCAGCTCATTAAGTAGGCAAATGAGGTGCAGCGATATTCATCATTGCGCCTCATTTGCATATGTTCTTGCGCAAGAGAGCACAATGTAGATGTAACCTGTGTGTCTCTGTGCAGCTTCCAAAACTTCTAGCTTTACCAGGACAAGTATTACAACATAGTTACCTATTGTCAGTATAGAAATCTCATATTCTAGTGGATTGTACTCCAAGTGGAACCCCCTCTTACACCATGTAATCCAATAAGTAGGGGCCTACCAACTTCACAACTATGCAAAAGACATCACAAACCATGAAATCTGTCCTTTGTGTGCTTTTACCCTACACTATACAGATTTCAAAGAGGAGACCAGTGTTTCTCAAATTGGGGGTCCTGACCCAAAAGGGAGTCTCAGGGGAATCACAAGTTTATTTTAGGAGAGTCACAGTGTTGCTACTCATACTTCTATGCTGACTACAGAGCTGGACAACTGGAGCACGGTAGTTGTAATGTTGGCCGGGTGCCCATCTCTGAAGGCAGCACTCTGCCTGCAGCAGTGCAGAAGTAAGGGTAGTAATACCATACCCATGTCACCCTTACTACTGTACTGCTGCTTTCAGAGCTGGGTGGCTGGAGATTAGCAGCTGCTGACTAAGGGCCCAGCTCTGCAGGAAGTAGCACGGGGGAAGGGTGGCAATACCATATAATGCCATATTTACTGCTGCTGCTGGTCTCTATGTCTTCAGAGCTTGATTTTTGGCCAGCAGCCACCACTCTCCAGCTGCCCAACTCTGAGGCAACTCTACTGCCAGCAGATGTACAGAAGTAAGGGTAGCAATACCACAACCTCCAAACAATAACCTTGTGACATCCCACACACACATACGCAACTTTTTTGGGGGTTACTTCTAAAATTACACCACCACAAAATTTCAGAATTAAATATCTGAAATCATAAAGTTTACCACTTTTAAAATTCCAAGACTGTGGAATTCACCAAAATGGACATAACTCCATCTCCACAAAAGGTGAAAATCTTATGTCAGTGTAGTTAGGACAGATACTGCATCTCTTATATCCGCTTCCTTGTCAGTTTCTGGGCAAGATCTGTGAAATTAACAAGAGTGCTCCTACTGACCTTGAGGTGGTTGGACCCTGCTTCCAGTTGGAAGCCAGGGTGAGATATTCAGGGGACTTCACTCTGTTCCGGGCTAGTAGCCAGGGTGAGAAGCCAGGTGAGCCATGAAATTGACATGGTTGCTTAGTTCCTGGTGGAAGAGGTGGGGGGTTAAGGAGCCAGGACAGGTGGACTTCAGCCATGGGTGGCTTTTCCCCGTTCCTGATGGGGGAAACTCATATCCCTAAATGGAGCAAGATTCTCTATCCAGATCTTGAATGCTTTGTGTGTCTTCACCTAGCAGCTTGGTGTGGATTCCTAAAAATTGACTCATCTGACTTTTTAAAAGTGAAAAATAACCATTCTACTATCCAAGAACCATTTCCCAATGCAGTCAAGTATTTAAAATGCTAGTTTAGGAATACAGCTAAGACAGGCCTGGGACATATCCTCTTATAGATGTTGATTCTAATACATTCATGTCCTAAAATGGAAGAAGTGCTCTTTAATAGATTTGCTACTGCTAACACTTCTGTGATGAGTGAGTATGGCACATGACGTATGGAGTACATCTGCAGAGGCATGATACATTCAGGGAATTCCTTTTACTCATATGTCGTCTTCCCCATTCCACCTCTGATCATTGGACTCTTTAGTAGGATTATTAGACTAATCATGAAGGGTGGGTGGGTATGTAAATAAATAAACATATGTATTAATTGGCTTGTAGTTTTTCCTTTAAAAAAAGAATATGGATTCATATTACCAGCTGTATGAATCATTTAGAAATCAGGCACACATTTATCCAGAAAAGTCATTCTGCAATTTTTTGTACTGATCTAGATAAGCTGTCTACAGATAGAGGAAAGCTAGTGATGGAACATATCTTCAAGCTGCAAGAGTTCTGTAACAGTATGGTTAAGCTTTGCCTCGATGGGTATGAATATGCTTATTTGAAAGCAATTGTCCTCTTCAGTCCTGGTATGTAATTATTTTTAATACTAAAATTTTGTTCTTTTTCTGCGACAATTGGGATCTGAGTATTTATATTGCATTTAAAAGTTCTCTTTTCCAAAATCCAAGCTTTCAGCTAAGGTGTGGGGGGAGAGTGATTTTTCTATGTACGTTCATGCATTTCTGACACTTTAGTTCTATAGCTGCAAGAAATTTGTGAACCTGTTTTTATTTTAATTAGGGGATAAGTTGAAATCTTAAGGTTGTCCTCCATCTTCCAGTCTAACAAAGATTCCAACTACACTGAGAATTTTAGACATTTCTCCCAAAGTTGCTATAGCACCAATGCAGGTTAGCAATTGCTAGCAATGCTAGAAGTGATTAGGCAGACATACCACAAATGTTTTTTTACCATTATTTTCTCTGATTCTGCTCCTTAAGAATCAGTTGGAGGCGGGGAGAGACTGGAAGACGGGAAGACTTAGGAACCCGCTCCCCTGGCTGTTGGGGGGTGATATCAGATAAGTAGGTGGGGGAGCAGGCAGGACTAGGAGATTGGGACAGAAAGCCTTTGGAGGAGGGATATTGAGAGAGGATTTGGAGCTATAAAGATCAGATGAGGAGTTATGAATAGGAGGCGAGGTGCAAAGGTGCAAAGCCAAGCATTCAAAAGTTAGAAAATGCCAGAACCATTGTTGCCTGTGTGACTTTGATTCAGCTGCCTGTTTCTTATGCATTATGACAGTCTAATCCCGTGGTCACCAACCAGTAGATCGTGAGCTACCGGTAGATCTCAGGGGCTCTAAGAGTAGCTCTTGAGCCCTCTCTGAACTGCGCACCTGCGCAGTACATTTACATTAGATTTCCTCATTTGAGGAGCAGCTACTCACTGAGCAACAACACAGGTGAGTAGCTGCGAGGAATGGTGGGAGCTGGGAGGTTGGGAGGGCTGAAACACCCCAGCCAGCTGACTGTGGCTTTCACAGCTGGAGCTAGGCGCAGCCTCCCTGGGCTGAGCGCAGGGCAGCCAGGCTGGAGGGAAGAGAAGCAGCTGCCCAGCCAGCTGGCCATGGCGCTCAGCCAGGGTGCACCACGCTCTATGTGGGCTTGCGCTGAGTAGGAGAAGGTTA